ATTTGACAACCTATTATATGTTAATATAAAGTAATAAAATATAAATTAATGTTAATAATTTACTCTTCTAATTTAATAATCCATCAAAATATGTTCATCCTAAGTTTAACCATCTTTTTGCTTTTATTTAATTACATTAAGATTAAAAATAACTGAATCACTATTCTTATGAATGAATTGTTTATAAAACAATTTTATAAATAACAAATTCTAAATATATATATATATATATATGCATATATATATATTTATATTATATATATATATATATATACATGTATATTTATAAATTGTTGTTTAAAAAAGTCAATAACTTTTTAAAAACAACAAAATGAATCAGAAGAGAATGCATTTTACCTTGAAAATTTATCTGATGAAACATGATATATTTTCATATCATTTTATAACAAATAGTGTGCTTCTTTGTAAAAAAATATCAAAACTATTATTTAAATTATTATTGAATTTTTTATTACAGCATGGATTAATTTTTATATATTAAATATAACTTTAAAACCACTGGATTAATATGAGCATATTATATGGAAAATTTGTAAAATTTACTTAATATGTGCTTTGACATACATTGAATAATATCTGTTAATTTTTTTAATAATTGAAAAAGATTAAATCAAATTTGGAAACGTATTTTATTAGATTAAAAATAATCTATTTTTCTGAAGAAGAAATTGGAAAATTATTGTTTTCATCAAAAAATACGATTCGCTATTTTTAGGGTTTCTCGACGTTTCAAGCCGTTCTGAATCGAATGGGGACAAAATTGAAAAATGTATGTGTGTGTAATCTCAGAAGTTTAAAAACCATTTGATGTATCTCTATAAACTCTATTTTTATTTGTGCATCGATCAGCCGAACCTGTTCTTTGTAATTAGTTAAAAATTTAGCTTTAGTAGAATTAGTAGAACATTTTAGCGTTAGTTTTTAATCTATTTTTATTTGTGCATCGATCAGCCGAACCTTTTCTTTGTAATTAGTTGACAATTCAGCTTTAGTAGAACTAGTAGAACATTTTAGCGTTAGTTTTTAATCTATTTTCAAAATTCAAAAACTATTCGAAAGAATTCGGTTAGGAATCGTTGGGAGAATTATATTAACTTCCCGAAGGAGAAGTTTATGTTTTCATCAAAAAATCCGAATGGCTAATTTTATGTTTTCTCGACGTTTCAAGCCATTCTGAATCGAATGAGACCAAATTTGGAAAAAGTATGTGTGTGTGTGTGTATGTGTGTGTGTGTGTGTGTGAACAGATTTTTTGCCGTAAATCGACGTTTTCTCCAAAACGGCTGGAGCGATTTCAAAAATTTAAAAGCCATTTGATGTATCTCGATGAGGACTATCGTCTCTGAGTTTTGTGCGGCGATCGGCCGGGCCGTTTCTTTGTAAATTGCAGAAAAGTGAAAAATTTTTCGCCCACGTTTTAGCCCGCAATTCTGAATCGATTCTGAAAATTCAAAAACCATTCGATAGATATTGGTTGGGAATCGTGCTGATTAGTTTTTGGTAAAGATCGGCCGGGCCGTTTTCTTGTAATAACGTTTTAAAAAAAAAAATTTCGACGATTTTTATGATTTTTTTTTTGACGGTAGATACCATAGTTTTCTAGGTCATACTAAAATATTACGGCCCTACGACAACTCGTTTAGCTTTAAAAATTCGTCAAAGTTTGCAAAACTTGGCATAGTTTTTTGACATTTGTCAAAATTAGACTTTTGATCGACGTTTTCTCAAAAGCGCCTGAACCGATTTCAGAAATTTAAAAGCCATTTGATGTGTTTCGGGGAAGACTATCGTTTGTCAGTTTTGTGAGACGATCTGCCGAGCCGTTTCTTTGTAATTTAGAAAAGAGTTAAATCTTTCGTCCACATTTAAGCTCATCCTACCGAACCGATTTTAAAAAATCAAAAACTGTTCGAAAGATATTAGTTGGGAATGATACTGATCAGTTTTAGGTGAAAATCTACCGAGCCGTTTTCTTGTAATTAACCGTTGAAAAAAAAATTTAAGCCAATTTTTATGGAACTTTTTTTAGCGATATATACCATGGTCTTATAGAACTTACTGAAATATTACGGCCTTAAGACAAATAATTTGATTTTAAAAATTCATCAAAGTTTGAGAAAATGAGTAGCTCTTTTGGCATTTGTTAAAATTAAAATTAGACTATTTACTTGGTATAATGATAGAGTACTTGATCTTGAACATAATAAATCATTAAAGTCCTGAAAACTGGTTCAATTATAAAAATTATTGATTTTTGAAAATTTGCTTTTAGAAAATACTCCGAGTTCGTTCGTTTTCAATTATGTGTAATAAATCCACTCGGAATACTTTTAATGACTCATAAATTAATTTATTTTTTATTGATTAAGTCGATTATTTAAATATATCGGGAAGTTCATGTAACTTGCCTCAAGGCTAAATACCAAACCAACTAGTTTATTCATACAATTACATAGATTGTAATTATGTTTAAAAAACATCGCTTGGAAATCAGAATTGATTTTATATGAAATATAAAATTTTTATAAATGTTATAAAAGATTTATAAATATGTTATTTTTTAAATAAACAGTTGAATATTTTACCTAAATATCTGCATTTGATTAAGTTAAATAAGTATCGGAGAGTTAATGCAACTTGCCCTAAGGCAATATGCTTTTTACGACTAGTTATTTCACAATTTTGTATATATGTCTGGAAAACTTTTCGTTTTAAATCTTTCATAATCCAAAATTCTATGTACAAATATATTTTTGTATAGGCAGAACCGGTTTTTTTGACGGTTTAATAATTTATGCAACTTTGGAGCATTATTTCTTCCGTATTGATTAAATTTCCAATTTTGTACGATGATTTTCAACATTTGATGATTTAATTCTTCGTGATCTGATTCTTCATTACATAATTGTCTTGGATATTATTTGGAACGATACAATGACACATATGCATATTTTAAAATAAAAAATTCATAAAAATATGAAATATTAACTTAAACAAATTTCAAAAATATTTGACTTATTTGAACTAAAAATTGATAACATTTAAAATAGAATTTAATGTAATTTATTTTCTAGAATAATATGTAACATTCTAAAAACCCGTAACAGTTCCGTATTCTCATAAATAAAATAAAATATGCCCTAAATTCTATAATATTCTAAAACACTAAATTATTTATCAAAAATGCACTAATAATTTCAGAAGATAGAGAATAATATGAATATATTTTTTAAATTTTTATAATTCAAGAACTAGTTGATATATCTAAATGATTTCTTCAGCATTCGATACGAATGCGTGTCCAGTTTGAGTGTTAATTTTTTTATCAAAATCGGTCAAGACGTTTCTTTGTAATTCCCATCTTTATCCAAAAATGCTCTTATTGATTCCAAAAGATTGAGAGTAGTAAATATTTAATTTTAACTCAAGATTGGCTTGATATATCAAGTTAATTTTTTTAACATTTAAAATGTATATTAATATCGTGTATAAATAGTATTTTTTCATCAAAATCGATCAAGCTGTTTGTTTAATTCTAATAATTGCACCTAAAAATTTTAACAGATGGATCATAACTCATATTATTTTTGGTTCTTGAAAATTTCAAGAACTAGTTTATAAATTAAAAAAATTCTGATGTCATTTGATGTATGTAAATGCTGACTTGAAGTACTGAATTTTATATCAAGCCGTTTTTTTACTGAATTTTATTACTAGTCGTTTTTTTGTAATTCACACAAATCCAAAAAATGCATATAAAAATTTCAAAACAAAGAACTAAAAACAATGATAAAATTTGGTTCTTGATAAATCAAGAAGGCGTTAATATACCATTAAATTTAAAATTGCATTTCATAGACTTTGAATATTAAAATATTACTTATTTTCATCATTTTGGATTTGTCAGAAATTAAATTATTCATGTATTTGACTAATACTTTAAAAAATTAGTTAATTACTAATTAATTTATTGTTAATTAATTACATAACTATAAAAAGTTACAACAAATGCTTTGGGCGGGTAGTTAATTGTAATTATTATTTAAAAACAATTTTTAGAATAATCCTTTCGTAAAAATATTAAGAAAATATCAATGAGTAATATTATATTTATAAAAAAAAACTTTGAATTCATAAATATAACTTATAAAATGCGGAAAAATCTATATATTCACAATACATAGTGGTTTTTAATCTAATTTTATAAAAATAAATGGAATAGATTTTTTTCTGTTTATTTACCAAACCTTAAAATTTATATTATAAAAAATAATAAATTAATTAAAATTAATCAGATTAATTCTTCACCACTCGCCCTGAAAAAAAAAACGCTTTTACGCATTATTTTTTTATTTTTTTATAATTTTTTAATATAAAATTTTGTGATATAATTAATAATTTTTAATTTGTCCAATATATATCTAAATTTTGGGAATAAAATTTATTTTTAAGTCGTACTTGCCAATAGGTCCTAGTAAATTTTTTTGGCATGTAATTTTTAATTTACTTTATATATATCTAAATTTTGGAGTATAAAATTCACTTTTCAGCTAGTAAGACTTGCCAATAGGTCTTAGTAAATTGTTTTGGCATATTAAGTTTTTAGACATTTTTAGGAAAGGATATTAAAGAAGTATAAATTCATTGATAATTTAGACTGTTTTTATTTTATGCTACAGTTGTAAATTGTATTGTTTATGTATATATATATATATATATATATATATATATATTTATATATATATATATATATAAATATAAACAACTACAAATTATTTACAATTTAATTCCAATGAACTTTCAACATATCATTTCGATCTACAAACAAAAAAATAAATAAACAAAATCCTAAGCGTTTGACATTTACAAAAGATAAAAAGTTCAAAACTTTAGATACGAATTAATTATCTATAAACAAAATGTCTCTATAATTTCAGATACTTAAAAAAAGTCATTGTAATTGATTTAAAATAATTAAAATGATGAAAGTGGAGCAATCGACAATTCCAGGAATTCCTGGAGTCAATTCTGGAGTTGATGATGAGGAAAAATTTGGACGAGAGGATGTTGCTAAGATTTTGAAAAAGTTTAAGAAAAACTTGGCAGGTAAATGGAAAACTAGATTTTCTAATTTTATTTAAAAAAAATCTTGATCATCAAGTTTTACTTAAAACATTTTATACAAATTCAATAAATCCTTAAACCCACATCTTCTCCTTTGAGACTTTCCAAATCTTTGTCATTCGCAAATTTCTTTTTAAGAAGCAAATTTTTTAGCAAAAGTTATCCTGGCAACCAGGATTTTTTAACTTCCTGTAGGGTAGTTATAGTAATGAACCAAAAATCGAAAATGAAAGTTTTTGCATTTCTCGACGTTTTAAAGGTTTCGGAACATTTTACTGGCATACCTCAGAAAAAATGGATGTGTGTGTATGTGTTTTGTATGTCTGCAGTTTTTCGTCCACGTTTTCGGACGCACGGATCAGCCGATTTAAATGATTAAAAAACCATTCGATTCCTATTAATAGGGAGATTTGCTGATTAGTTTTTGGCAAAGGCAGGTCCTGCCGTTACAGAGATACGGAGCAAAGAGTGCAGAATATACTAATCGAGTTTTTGAGAGAACGGAGTATCCGATTTGAATAATCTAAAAAACATTCAATTAGTAATGATTGGGAGAAGACGCGATTAGTTTTTGGCAAAGACAGGTCCCGCCATTTCGAAGATACAAGGCTAAATGTGCAAAAAATGGCAGTTTTTGAGTGAACTAAGCGTCCGATTTGAATGATCTAAAAAACTTTCTGCTTGTATTGACGAAACAATTGCTTTTGAGGATGAAAAATTATTACATCTTTTTTTATTTTCCATAAAATATTTTTGTAATTTTGGATTAAAAATTCAAAAAATTACCCAGGCTAAGCACAGTCTAAGCGCCACTCTGGTACAAATGTTTACCCAAGTGCGTTTAGACTGTTTATGTATTGGAGCACTTTTCCAATTTTGTGAGAAAACTATTGAAAAATGTGAAAATGCCGCCACGCCAAGCACAGTATAAGTGAAAATGTCGCACAGAATTGTTTGCAAATGCGTTTAGACTGTGACTATACGGGAGCACTTTTTCAATTTTGTGTAAATTAGGCAACTATTTTTTTTTTAATTAAATTCGAAATGAAATGACGATTGTTAATGTAATAATTGATTTATGATTTACATTTGATTTGCTCAGATATAACAAGATAGCAAAAATAATGAAAGTTACAGTATTTGTAATGATATATTTGAAAATGTTTAAAATTTCTCTAATATTTAATTGTGGTACATAAAGTTGCAGCAATTTGCCTTAAGGCACGATGCCATACACCACTAGTTCAATTTTATCTAGGAAGATCTTGATAATCTATAACTTTTACTAAAACAATCTTCATTCAAGAACAAGAGATCTTTAAACCCTCAACTTTTCCTTTGAGACTTTCCAAATATTTGTCATTCCTAAATTTCTTTTTTTATAAATCATCAATAATTAGGATGACCAGCAGAAAATCTTTATTATTATCTAAAATTTAAATAATCTCATTACAGTTTGAAAATAAAATTTTATATACTATTTCTATTAATTTGATTATAATATATAAAATGTATGATTAATGTCATAAAGTTGCGTTTTATTTGCTCTCACTGGTAAAAATGTCTAATTTAGAATGTAAGGTTGCATCAACTAATATATCACACTATAACTATTTTAATAAAAGTAAAAAAAAAACAGTTTTCAGAGATTGTATAAAAAATTTGGTAGGGGGCGATACAAAAATTTTGATCTTCAAAGGGGGCGATGGAAGAAATAAGTTTGAGAAACGCTGATATAAATTATCATCATCAGCTTTGACTAAATTTAATGTCAATAAAATATTTTGTTATCCAGGTGAAAAATTCCTGACTGAACCTGACGACAGGACTCTGATGACATTTTTAAGAACCAAAAGATACGACTTGGTGCAGGCTGAAAAACTGGTAAGCAAAAATAAATCCTGACCAAATTATTGGACGATTTTTATCCAAAAGTGAAATCTATCTGGTGTTATCTATTCAACTGATGGTTACTATATTTGTTTTTTTTTAGCTGAAGACCTATGATGAATTCAGGCGAAAACATGGTCAAAACTGGTTAAAAATTTCCAAAACCGAGTACAAAACAGTATTTGCATCTGGTGTTTTGGATCTTCTGGACGAAAAAGACAAACGTGGTCGACGAGTTTTGTGGTTAAGAGCTGGTAAATGGATACAGAAACTTCATACAGCTGACCAATGTCTTAAGGTAATAATTGGACCAAAAATTAATATAAAACATTTATTTAATTAAAACACAAAAAATATAATATAATAAATAAACGTGTGAAGTACTTGTAGTAAGTTAGTCAAAGCCAGTACTGAATTTGAAGCGCAGCACAGCCATCTGTTGATCTCGCCATACACTAAAACTAACTCAAGCACATTTGTTTGCTTTGCTTACACCCCATGATTGATATTTATGTTAAATGTACAAAAACGGCTAGACTGACTTTGATGAAATTTGGTATGCTCATAGTCTTCATCCGTACGTATAGAATGCTGTTTAAAATTTGTTAATATATTAAAGCGTTCTTGATTTATTGAGGTCTAAATGTTATGCTTGTATAATTATGAGACTTGATGTATTTCTTAGCATTTGTGCAAAGTGTGCGAAAACGGTTTGACTGGTTGTTTTAAAAATCTTAGCACTTAAAATAGACATTTGGGTGTTTTGAATGGTATTAAAATTTTGGTTCTAGAATAACCTAAAATTGGTATATGTGTTTTGAAACTATTACCTAATTTACGCTTCGTGTCTGTTTGATACTCTAATGTGCATTGGCAGCATTTTCTTGAATTATAAAGAAACGGCTGTACTCATTTTGATAAAAAAAATATTATTGGAAGTCAATATCGATATGTATCGAATGCAATTACAATTTTATTGATATTAAAGTCTTCTTGATTTGTCAGGAACCAAATTCATTCATTGATTTTAGTTCTGTCTATTGAAATTCTAAGGTGCATTTTTTTGGATTTGTGTGAATTTCATAGAGACTGCTGGACTGATCTTGATATAAAATCTAGTATTCAAAGCTAACATCTTCTTACATTAAATGCCATCAGAATTTTGTCAATTTATTAACTAGTTTTTGAAATATTCAAGAACCAAAAATAATAAGAGTGTCGTATATATTGAATATTTTACGTGCATTTATTTGAAATATAAAAAAACTGCTTGTCCGATTTTCAAGAAAAAAAATACTATTCATACACGATATTCATATATTTCAAATGTTAAAAAAATTAACTCGATATACCAAGTCGTTCTTGAGTTAAGAAATTAATATGTATTATTGTTTATCTTTCGAAATTATTACGTGAATTTTTGGCTCTTGATGCGATTGCAAAGAAATGGCTTGACCGATTTTGATGCAAAAATTACTACTTATATGCGACATTCATGCGTATCAAATTTTTGCAAAATATTTCAAATCCATCAACCCTTTCTTGAGTTATCAAGATCCAAACATATAAATTCAGTAAATTTTTGTACATTGAAAACTAGTACGTGCTTTTTTGCATTTAGCCGAATTGCAAAGAAACGGCTTGACTGATTTTGATACAAAAATTAATACTTGATGTACACAATCATACGTATCAAATGTTAATAAAATCATCGAGATATCTCAATCAAATTTCCTGTTATAAAAAATCAAAAACTGAAAATTGATCAACTTCTATTTTAAAATTATCATCACGTGCATACAGGAGCAATTTACAAAGAAACGTCTGAACCGATTTTGATAAATTAAAACACGGATTGTAGTAAACACCCATAAATACCTATTGTTAAAAAAATCATCTTGATATCTCAATTAGTTCTTGAGTTATAAAAAATAAAAAAATAAATATCAATTATCCACTATTTTTTATATCACCATGTACATTCTGCAATATTGGGACCATTTACAAAAAAAAACGGCTTGACTGATTTTAATAAAAAGTACACAATCATACATATCGAATGTTAAAAAAATTATGAAAATATCTCAATTAGTTCTTGAATTATAAAAATTCAAAGAATAAATTCATATTATTCTCTATCTTGTGAAATTATAAGTGCATTTTGTGAACTAAAGGAGTAAATTACAAAAAAACGGCTGAACCGATTATAATAAAAAAAAATTACACGTAAAGAGTATACTCATACATATAGAATAGTAATATAATATTGTCAATATCTTGATAAATTAAGAACATAATATTGATCACAAAGACAATGTATTAATAAAGTAACTCTTCATGGTTTTTTTGTAAGACAAGGAATAAGATAAGAAATCTATTAGTATTTTGTCGGTGAATAATAAATTAAAATTATATATATATATATATATATATATATATACACGTAATTGTTTAAAATTAAATACAAATAAATAAATTATATTGACATGCTTCTATAGACACAAATAGCATTTATGTAAATGACTTTAGGAAAATCCAGTACTATTTATAATAAATTCTTTTATATATATATATATATATATATATTTATATACAGTTATGCAAAAAATTGGCAATTTGCCATAAATTAATATTTATTATTATCGATCCTACATTGATGGAAATTATCTCGCATAATTTAATTCAAAGTATTTTTCCACTTTTTGACGTAAATTGCGAATTAATTTGTCTCGATTACGTCTTTAAGAGAATAAATAGTTTTTTTATGTATTTTATATTATAAAACATTGTTATTGATTGAGATAATGATGTAAATTTTCAAATTTTTGCAATTTGAGTATGCATTTGCATTTTTTATGATGTAGAATTAAATCTGAAACTAAATTTGAATAACACTTGTTATTTGAATTTTATTATTTTTGGTAATTGCAAATAAAATTAATTTTACACTACACATTACCAAAAAAAGTTTATTTAGTTATTGTAAATTATAGATTTCAATTTAGTATAATTTAAATAATGTAATCTCTATAATTACCTCAGTAGAAATAAATCGTTGCTAAATATTATTTTTATGTGGTCTAAATAATTTTTAGAATACTTTGTGAAGATTTTCCTGTATTAGAAAATATTATTTAGCATTTATTAAATTATGAACATTTAAAAATATTTATTATATAATCAGGAGTAGTAAATTCATATAAAAAATATCATTCAAATCATTAGAAAGTAAATTGTATTTATTATGAACAAACTAATTCATTTTCGAATAGTTCATTTATTAAATCTTATTAATTTCATTACAGTTTGTATAATAGTTTTTTTTTTGATAATAGGGTGTAAAATATTTACAATATATATATATATATATATATATATATATATATATTATTTGTTATGTAACTTTTTATGTCGGTACAAATTTTTTACATATGAAATCGCAAAGAAATAATTTTAAAATATAAAATCATCATTCAAATAATGTTAAAATTTATTTTTTTAGATTGGTGGTCTAATGGCAGAACTAGCATTCCTCATAGAATCCCAAGTGGACCCTTATTCTGGTTGTGTGGCCATCATTGATATGGAAGGTTTCAGTATGACGCAACTAAAGGGCGTTACGCCTTCTTTTGTTAGAAAATTGATGCACTATTTGGTGGTAAGTTGAAGTTTAGGGCTTTGTAATAATTAAACCTTTGAATATTTTTATAAAGTGTCTTTGGGTAAAAGTTAGCTTTTTGTATTAACTTTGGGATAAAAAATAATTTATTCAAATAGGATTATTAGTTTTCGAGTTATACAGAATTTAATCGGTTTGTGCACCGAAATAAAGTTTTAGAAAATTGATGCAGTAATTGGTGGTAAGTTAAAGTTTGGGACTTTGTAATAATTAAGCTTTTAAATATTTTGATAAGGTATCTTTGGGTAAAAGTTAGTCTTATGTTTTAACTTCGCGATAAAATTTAATTGAGGCTAAGAGAAGCATTGGTTTTTGAGTTATACAGGATTTAGTCAATTTGCGTACCGAAGTATATTTTTATAAAATTGATTCAGCTTTTGGTGGTAAGTTAAAGTTTGGAGCTTTATCAATAATTAAACCTTTGAATATTTTTATAAAGTATCTTTGGGTAAAAGTTAGCCTTATGTGTTCACTTTGCAATAAAATCTAGTTCAGGCTAACTGAATTATTGATTTCCGAGTTATACACAATTAAGTCAATTTGTGTACCAAAGTAATGTTTTAGAAAATTGATGCAATAATTAATGGTGGTATGTTAAAGTTTGGGGCTTTATAATAATTAAACTTTCGAATATTTTCATGAAGTATCTTTTAGTACAAGTTAGCCTTATGTATTGGCTTTGGAATAAAATTAAATTTATTTAAATAGGATTATTGGTTTTCAAGTTATAGAGAATCTAGTAGATTTGTGTACCGAAGTAAAGTTTGGATGAATAATTTTATTTATATATGTGGTTATATTTTTTATTTATAAAAATTATATATATATACATATATATATATATATATAATATAATATATATATATTTATATATATATATAAATATATATATATATATATTTATCCATAAATTTTATATATATGTGTATATATCTATATACATATTTTTTTATTTTTTTTCAGTCTTGTTTAGCAATGAGAATTTTCACAGCCCACGTAATTCGAGAATCGTCAGGATTTGCTGTAGTTTTCGCACTTTTCCGCAAATTTATCGACGACAGAATGAGAAAAAGGGTAAAAAAATTTACTAAATATATAAATAACTTATTTTTAATATTTATGCTTTTTTCTTAGATATTTTTCCACCAACACGATATGAATTCTCTGGCCGACAGTGTCGGTTTGGATATTTTGCCCTTGGAATTGGGAGGCCCTTGTTTGTCCGACCCTGAAAAATGGGTCAGGTTGTTGGATGACCCAAAAATTATACAAGGTAGAATTGTAAATGATATTTACTAAAAATTTGTTGAAAAAATTCATATAATATGCATATTTAGTTAGTAAATATTAAATCTATTTCTTACTTAAGTCAATCAATATTTATTTCTTTAGTAATGTAAATTATTTATTATATACAATTATTTATACTAGATTAATCAAGTTTATTGTACAATTTAATTTAAATTTGTTTATTTATTAATTTGTGAAGAGTTATTGAAGTTTAGCACCTTTTAAGCAAAAATTTACATGTGCCATCTCTTTGCAATAAATAGAGTTAAATTTCTTTGCTCAATTTTAAATAAATATTGAAAAAACTTATATTATTTAATAATATTTAAAAAATATACCAATGTCTTTATATTAATTAAAAAAACTCTAGAAATTATAAATTTATTTAAAAAAAAAGTTTGGCCTTAGTAACTTAAAATAAATAATTTTGAGACTTAGAAATTTATCAAATTTGAATACAAATTTAATATTTCTTAAATAATTATTTTGACAAAATATGTTTAATAATTAAATACAATCATTTTTAAAGATTTTATTAAAAAAAATTTGCTTTTCAATCTTAGAAATCAGATTTTCAGTAAAACATTATTTCTTGCTCAATATAACTATTTTGTTCGTATTTTTTCATTTATTTATATGTATATTTTTTTACTAAATAAAAGGTTATATTTAATTAAATATCAAGTATTATATTTTTCTATTTTTCTTATATTTTTGTTGTTTTTTTATTTCAGAATTGGAAAAAATTGGGTACACATTTGTTGAAGATTAGCACGAACAAAATAATTTGTTTAAGTTTAACGAAATAATATTGTACATTATGAACCTCAAGTATTTTGTGATATGAATAGTAACAAAATAATAAAATAATTATTAATTTGATTCATTTTATAAATTCATGTATATATAGTTATTATGTAAGTGTGGATCGTGGACAAAAATAAACTAAGTTATAATTTAATATAATTAAGGTAATAATTTTTTTTTATAATTGTTTGATTATATATAAGCTAATGATTATTGTATAAGTGTATATAAACAATTAATACAATATTTTTTATTATTAAGTATATTTCATATATTTTTATTTATTTAGAAAGAAAATTAGAAAAAAATGGTAAGGCCATAATATTACTTTTTGTTCGACTAAATATATAAGTGACTTCTTTCAGAAAATAATTTATGTTGAAAATATGAACTAAAATTTTGATATTTTTGTAACTAGTTTTTGTTGTAAGTAGATTTGAAAATAACATACTCAAATAACAGGACTCTAGTACAAAAATTTCATTAAAGAAATATAAAGAAAGTTTGTTGTATTAAAATAATTTGGCCTTATAAATAATGAATAGGGCCTTCTTTCAGTAAATAATTAATATTGAAATTTTGAACCAAGATTTTATTATTTTTGTATCTAGTATCTGGTTTTTATTAGTAATATATTTGGAAATAACATACTAAATTCACAAAACAATTTATATAATTCTGGTATATAAATTGTACAAAAAATGTAATGTCAAAACATTATTTTTTTAGATTTCAATAGTGATTTCTTTCAGAAAATAATTTATGTTGAAAATATGAAGCAGAATTTTATAATTGTTGTAATTAGATTGAATTGTAAAAACATTTGAAAATAACATACTTGAATTACAGGACTCTAGTGCACAAATTGTATTAAAGATAAATATTTGTAATAATACTTTTTAAGATCAAAATAATAAATGTTTAATTTGACAAAATATTATTATGTATCCAAAAATGATTATTATTAAAAATATGAGCTAAAATTTCGTTATTTTTGCAACTAGTTTTTATTGTAAATAGATTAAGAAATAATATACTGAAATTACAGGACTTGTAACGCCAAAATAATGATTTTTTGACTTGATTTTATAATAGTGTTTTTTTCCAGAAAATGATTTATGTTGAAAATATGAATTAAAATTTCGTCATTTTTGTAACCAGTTTTTATTGTAAAAAGATTCAAAATTATTATAGTAAAATTACAAGATTCTAGTATATAAATTGGTATTAAAAAAAATAAAAGAACCTTTTAACGACAGAACAAAACTTTTTATACTCGATTTCATAATAATGTCTTTTTACAAAAAATAATATTGAAAATATGAACCTATGTGTTCTTATTTTTGTAACTAGTTTTTATTGTAAAAAGACTTAAAAATATTATACTAAAATTACAAGATTCTAGTGCAAAAATTGTATTAGAGAAAAATAAAAGAAAGTTGTATCTTCAAAATAAAATTTAATTGACTTTATAAATGTAGACTAAGTACTTCTTTCAGAAAATATAAAATATTTTATATTATAATATGAATGTTGTAAAAATAATAATTTATCATATAAATTTAGCAATATCGTACTAAAATTACGAGACTCTAGTACAAAAATTGCTTTAAAGAAAAGTAAAAGTATGCTCTAATGTTAAAAAATATTTAGTAAATACATCATAGTAACTTTTTACAAAAAATAATTATTTTAATTCACTATTTGTAAAAATGGTGAAAACGTAAAAATGAAATGAAGTAAATTTTCTACTCAAAAAAATTTTTGGTATTTAAGTCCCATAAATAACTTGTACGCCAATTTTACATTTAACCTAGAACGAAGGGTCATTCCAGGTTAAAAATATTTTAGCGTACCGGTTTTATCTGGGACACTTTTTTCAAGTATATCGAATATTTATATATATATATATATATATATATATATATATATAAAACAAAAACTAATTTGTGTTCAATGTTAGATTAGACAACACGTCGCTTTGGATAAAAAGATGATTCGCATAAAAAGATAAAAATGCGGTTATCTAACTGTGATTTAAGTTATCAATGTGAAAAAAAAACTAGCAATATATATTATAAACCCATTTACTCAAATACAAGCTTCTATAAAAATCAGGTACAATATCAAATCACAATTTTTAAAATAAAATAGAAAAAAAAAGATGTTATGAAAACTTGTACAAAATTTATCAAGACAAATTAAACAAAAATCGTTGTTTAATAAATTAATTAGTAATATAAATGTATGCAAATAATTTTAAGATTTGGTCAACGTATTAAAATAATATTCGAAATTAAAATTTCATTATTATTTGTTAATTCTATTATTAAAATATTTAATAAATCTTACTAAATATCTATATTCATGCAATTTGGACCGGTCTTTTTAAAGTATACCAAAATGTGCAAGAACATTAATAAAATTATTTCTTTTACAAAAATTATGTATTTATCCGATTTCTATTTTCAAAGTTAAGTCTATTTAGTCTATTACTATTCAACAATAGATGTTTCATACAAACTTAGAACGATTCTTCTAATCAGTTTTAATTTTTATTACACTTGTTTAATCACTTTGTTCTAATCGTAAATTGCAAATCGTAAATTGTTTAAACAAAAAGTGTCCATTGTTCTTGACAAGAACCGATAACAATTGAAAAACAATATTTGTTAAAGAAATCGTTGAACTGTACAGTTTTCTCTGCGCAATAAACTTTTTTAGATAAAAAATTTTAGAAATTGTATAAAATATTGCAGAAAGGTAAAATTTGGATATATAATTGTTAGATATGTATGTTTTTGTAACGTAAATTAAAATTTGTAATTATTTATATACAATATGAGATATTAATAATTTTCTAACTTGAAATCATATGCCGTAATATTTTTTTTTATATAAGATATATTTTATTTCATACTTTAAACAAATCCAATTAGGGTTGTAATTATAATTTACTACAAGTATATATATATATATATATATATATATGTAAAACTAATATTTCACATTTTGTTCAGACCAATTCAATCAATAAAATGAATATTAATAATTAATTATATATCCAAAGGCCGTTTAACTAAAACAAGGTCAAGAATTGTGTTTATTGATTTTTCTTAAAAACAGATATTTATATTATTGTATATAAAAATTATCTAGTTAGGTATATATATAATTATAAAATAATCTGAAATATTATATTTAGATTTGTTTTTTATATTTTTAATTTGCAATTAGAATTATTTTGGTAGTTTCTAATAAGATTGCTAGAAAAATCCAATGGGTTTCTAATTCATATGAAACGATTGTTTTTGAACAATTTGTCTTTCAAGATTTTTAATTATTTCACTTAATAATAATATTTATATTATGAATTAAATTTTATTACAAACAAAACAAGTTTTTAAGGCTTGTTGAGAAATTTATAAGATTTTTGGATTCTAATTCATTTGAATCGATTTGTTTTATTTGTTTTTTAAGATTATTAATTAGACGTTAGATTTTTTTACTTAATAATAATGATAATATTATTAATTGAATTTTATTTCAAACAAAACAAGTCTTAAAGATTTGTTGAGAAATTAATTAGATTTTTTTTTAAGTAACACGAATCGATCAGTCTGTTAATTTAAATCGTTCAATTTTCAAATAGCAAGCTTTTTATTTATTAAATTATTGTAAAATTTTAACGAATATTTAATATAATATTTGATTCGTCAAATTTATTTAAAATAAGTTTTTAAATTGAATTATTATAATTGATTGATTGAATAATTCGAATCGTAAGATAAAATCTATTAAATTCAAATTATTAACTGTATTATATTAAATCATTTGTAATTATATGATTTATCCAATTTTTATTTTCTCGTAAAGTGTTATTGTAATCGTCCAAAAATCAAAAATAAAAATGTTTGCATATCTTCACGTTTCAGTGGTTTCTGAACATTTTGGCACACCTAAAAAAAATGATGTATGTGTGTTTTGTGTGTCCGCAATTTTTCGTCCGCGTTTTCGGGCGCACGGATCAACCGATTTGAATGATTCAAAAACCAATCGATTCCTATTGATAGAGAGATGTGCTGATTAGTTTTTGGCAAAGGCAGGTCCAGCCGTTAAGGAGGTACGGAGCAAAGAGGGCAGAAAAATACAAATCGAGTTTTTGAGGGAACGGAGTATTTGATTTGAATTATTCAAAAAGCATTCAATTTGTAATGATGGGGAAAAGTGGTTATTAGTTTTTGGCAAAAGGTAGGCCCAGCGGTTTTGGAGATACAGGGCTAAATGTCAAAAAAATGGCAGTTTTTGAGAAAACTAAGCATCCGATTGGAATGATTCATACAACTTTCTTCTTGTGTTGACAAAACAATTTTTTTTATTACAAATTTCAATTTTTTGTATAACAAAAATAATTCAGATTTTAATGTTAATTCTGGCTAAAGTTCTGAAGCTCACTTATATACTTTGAACAAATAATTTTAACTTTGCAATTCAGTTTACATAATTCTTATAAATATTAGACAATGTTACAATATTTATAATAATTTATTTGAAAACATTTAATATTGCTCGAACATTTTGTTACGATACGGAAAGTTCCAGCAATTTGCCTTAACCCACGATGCCATACACCACTAGTTACTTTTTTCTCAATCCTAAATTTTTACCCAAAATCTTTTATTACCATTTAGATTTCGATTCACAAATTTTTCCGTTATTACAATTATCGGAATGGATTCACAAAGCCGTGAAAACTATAACATTACGTAATAGTGTATCAAAATCACCCACACACCCATACGTAACAATAACGTCACAAGTATACGTTAAAGTTGCGTGTGTGTTGTGTTATGATTACTCACGGAATCGCATACAAATAAAATGGGATAGTGAAACGCACATGGTTATAAAGCAGTGATGGTAAATCTTGTACAACTTTTAAAATATTTATGGAAACTGAATAGTGTTTTTGGAGAATTTGTGCGAAATTAAATACCCATTAATTTTGTCTAATAATAAAAGACTCTTGGACTACTGGGTGTACTTTAAAGATGCAAAAAACCGGAGGAGTGTTCTTGATACAAAAGCATTTTTCAACAAAGTACATGTATGTACTAGAGTATTCATAGCTTCACAACTATTAGTGCAATCTGAATAGATTATTTGGTAAATTTATTTAAAATTGAATACTCTACAAAATTGTCTCACAATAAAACACTTTATATCAACTCAGTATACATAAAAGTGATACTAAAAAGTCTAACAGAATAAGATGAGTTTTATTTAATAAATGAATGTATTATATTTATTCATTGAATAAAATTCATCTTACTTTACCAATTATTTATAACTATACAGACTACTTGCACAAAGTTTTGTTGTGAAAATAGTTTGTAGATAATTTAATTATCTAAATTTTGTTGAAAACATATATCATGCTAAAATTAATATTTTAGGAGATATTGGTAAATTAGTAAAATATACAGCAAAAAAACCTGTAAAAATGCACTTGCTCACTATTATCAACTTTGACACAAAACTATGAACATCATTTTTATTAATTAACTTGCACATGCATCTACAAACCTACTACTACTTTTGTGCACAAAAATACCATCAATTGTCCTTTATATTTTATCACAAAACCCTACTTTTTGCCTTCAATGTTCCGCAATTCCATGTCCGTATAGAAAACGAACAATTACTAAGTCCGTCAGTTGAGTATCAAGGTCCGCCTCGTGAAGATCATTTAAAAAAACAACATCATCTAATAAAACATAATTGTAATTAATAGAAATTATTAATAAAAGTCTAAAGTAAGTTTTGGTGTTTTTGAAACACGTTTTTGTGACAATTTTTTAAATAAAACTTGTGCGGGAAATGGGGTTATGCTAAAGTGATGATATTGAATCAAATACTTATTTTTTATTAATAAATATTAATTTCATTAATTAAAAATATTTTTGTAATTTAAACAATTTATTTAAAATTATTTGGTGTTATTGCTTATTTTAAATTTTATAATTTTTTAACAAGTTTTTTTAATTTTTTTGCAACATACATGCAAACATTTTGTTGGTTGGTATTTAATTTTTGTAAGACTTGTTTTATATTTTATATATAAACAACAAGTCTTTTTTAAAATTAAACAAGTTTTATCTAAATTTTGAATAAATATTTTCAGTATTTAACTAAAACATTGCTACAAGTATTTTTTGCAAAATTGATTAATTTCTATTTGATTTTATTAATAATTTTTTTTTATATTATCCCAAAGTGCTAAAACTTGATTTTTTGCCTTATTAGTGCTAATAGTAATTATTTAGAGTGCATACAATTTTCTAAATGGTGTTTTTTATGTAAAATTTGGTTTGAAATATTAGTAAATATTTTTAAAATTTAGTCTATATATCTAAAAATTATTTCTAATCAATTTTTTTTAATAATTTGCAACTTTCTTAAACAAAATATTTAATAGTTTCTCAAAAGCTCAAAAATTTTGGGTACTCAAGTGTAGAGAGTGCTTTTTTACTACAAGTCTTATTTATTTTATTGAATATTTATTTTAGAAGTTGTAAATATTTTTAAAATTTACTCTATATGTCAAAAAACTAATTGAGAATAAAATTTAGTAATCATTTGCAACTTTCTTTAACAAAAAATTTAATATTTTTTTCAAAGCTCCGAAATTTTGCTTTTTCAAATGTATAGAGTGTATTTTTTGAAACAACTCTTGTTTATTTTATCAAATAAATATTGATTTTGGCAGTTGTAAATATTTTTATAATTTAGTTTACACTTCTTAATAGCATATGTGATTAATTTTTTTTAATTATTTGCAACTTTCTTTAACAAAAAATTAAATAGTTTCTCAAAAGCTCAGAAATTTTGATCAAAAAAAGAGAATGCATTTTTTGCTACAAGTTTTGTTTTTTATACTAATTATCAATTTTAATACTAATACATAACTTTATAATTTAGTTCATATAAGCAAAAATTGGTTTTAATTAATTTTTTGTAATTATTTGCAACTTTCTTCCACAAAAAATTTAATAGTTTTTCAAAAGCTCAAAAATTTTGGATGAAACAAGTGTATATAGTGCATTTTTTTTATGTTATGTTAGTGCAATTTTATTAGCAGTAAATATTTTTATAAATTAGTAAATATACTCAAAAATTATTCATAATTAACATTTTTTAATTATTTGCAACTTTCCTTAACAAAATAATAGGTTGTCAAATATCTCCCTTCCGCTTTTTTGCTCTTGGTGTAATACAAAAAGGCGGAAGGGAGATATTTGACAATCTATTTTATTATGTCTACACAACACGAAAAATCTTAAAAAAAATTATTCGATGTTACAAGTCAAATTTTTAATACCAAATACAACCTTTACATTAACTAAATATTTTTATAATTCATTTCAATTATCTGCGATTTATTTCCAGTCAAAAATTTTTGAATATTTACTAATTTCATTAACAAAATATTTAAATTAAGTCAACGCAACTCTAAAAATCAAATCATTACTTTCTTTGACTTTCAGTCCAATTTTTAACCAACCACAGACTTTAGTTAAACTAAATATTTTTATAATTTAGTCTAAATGCCCAAAATTAATTTCCAATTAAAATTTTCTAATTATCTACAAATTTTCCTAATTAAAATTAAAAAAAACATATATTATTTGTCCGCAAGCAAATGCATATCGTTAGTAGTTCTACTAATGCCAAGGTGAACATCAATAAAAAGTCTGATTTCCGCGTTGATAAATTACAAATAATTATATAAAAATTTAAATAAATCTCTGTATATTATTTAAATATAAAAATCTAATATATATTTCATCTTTCTGCAGGTTCATTTGTTAATAAAATTGTTTACAATATTTGTTATTAATATAAACAAATAAAAATGACCGGTCCGGTGGAAGATGTCGGCAAAATTAAAAGTCGTGAAGAGGCTTTGAAGGAGATGAAAATGATGATTGAAGGTAAATTTATATTAAACTATTATTATTTTTATTTACCGAAATAAAGTTAAAGGTTTCAAGTATTTTATACCCAAATTTCAGCTTTCTACAACTAATAGAAACGCCAGAATATTTTTTTTAAATCAGCAAAATTTCAGAAGTATTCGCGGAATTAAATTCATGGCCATTTAGCATTTCTTTCAACGAGTTTTATATATTTATTAAACAGATTTAAAACTTCTAAATATTTATTAATAGGTATCGAATGTTATGGATCATTTGGATATATATATATATATATATATATATATATATATATAGTAGATTTTATCTTTATATTCAGCCAACAGAAAATTTCTAAAAAAAATCCCAACGTTCATAACAAAATAAACAGAGCGAAAATATGAATTATTTTCTATTATTTTTAATAATTATATAACTTGCACAAAATGTAATAACAAAATTTCACTAACTTATTATTTAAAAATAAAAATTATTCGAAAATTTAGAATAATGTATGATTTAGTTGCATAATTTTTAAAATAATGTAGTTTGACCAATGTATATTCAAAAAATTATTGTGTGTTAATATTAGGAGTAGAAAGTCGTGATTTGTATATAAAATATTTTAAATTTTTACTTAATTTTGATATACTTAATTTTTTTTATTTTATTAGTAGCAATAAGAAATTAGACTTGTAAAATGCAATGCAGTTGAATAAAATTATTTTGCATAAATAGTATAATTTGGTGAATTTGAAAATGTTTTTGTATCAAAACTGTTGTATATATAAACCTGAAATTTTAGTAGAATATACCTTGATCATTTATTTCAATATTGGTATACTTAGAAAACCTAACTCTATAACAAATTTTTAATTACACATAAAAGTTAGATGCTTACTCGTCAATTCTTATATTTTTAATTTGTGACCCCGGTTTTTCAAAAATTTGTTTACACTTGTTTTTTAAATATATAATGCTCAATATATATATATATATATATATATATATATAAAATACCTTAAACCATTACCTTAATATTGGCATACTCAGAAAACGTAACTCTGTAACAAAATTATGAGTTACACACATAAATATATAGTCAACTCTTATATTTACAATTTGTGACAGCAATTTTTCAAAAATTTGTTTTAACCATATTATTGAATATACTTAATTCAAATTCAGATATCAAGTACCTTGAACCTTTATCTTAATATTGTTAAACTTAAAAAAAATAAATTTTAAACAAAATTTTAAATTACACATATAAAACTTACATGGTTCACCTTTAGGTCTTATATTTACATTTTGTGACCGCGGTTTTTAAAAAAATTGTTTTGGCCATATTTTTAAAAATTTATAATTAATGGTAAGGTATCTTATACCTTAAACTTTATACTTAATTTTGTCGTACTTAAAAAAAAATACTTTGGAACAAAATTTGAAGTTATATATGTAAAAACTGGATATATGCATCACACCAATCCAATTAGTATTTGAGATTTTTAGCAATTTTCAAAAATTTGTTATAGCAAAACTATTATACTTGGGAAAGTAATTTTTGGGTTTGTTATACATTGAAGCTTATACTAAATTCTGAATTACCTTAAAAATGGATCTTTGGAACAAAATTCGAAGTTATGCCAAAAACTATGTATATATACTCGTATATACCCACAGCCTTAAAGAAAAATTATGTAGTACAAAAACGTTACTACGATTTACCTTGAAATTCTTCTATACATTTCAGAGTATACTTATCTAAGTATAAACAAATTTCTCAAATAAACTTATATTTATTTACTAGCCCAACATACAATCCTAACAAATATGAGTCAGAACTTAGTATAAATAATTTTTTCCCATCAAAACCTTTAGTGTATATATTAATTAGGCATTTAAAAGAGTTTGTACTTGTAAAAACGTTTGTATAAATTCCTCAGTCCATGTTTCTCTATATTTTTCTAATTTTAGAACAAAATATTTATAGATCTACATTTCAATGCGCTAAACAACATATTAAAATTCAACGTCATAATTGGTAATAAAAAAATTAATGAGTTTATTTATTTTGATCATATTGGAAAAATAATATTTATTTTAATGTATTCATCTTATATAAAAATCATAACAGGCATTAAAAAAATGTGGATATATCGTTTTCAATTGCAATTTATGAGTATACGGGGTTGATGTAGAGCATTTCGTTGTTAGAAAAGGTCATAGATAATTAAATTTTAAATATTTTTTTCAAACACATCATTTAGATAAATCAAATTTAGAAGTTATTTAAGATAAATCAAAATTATGCCCTCCTAGCTATAGGATTTATATCAGAATGCAAAATATTGATTTTAAAGTGTTCCAAGTTGCTCTAAAGCTTTGGAAAATATTCGCTCTTATAACAAACATCTCATTAATTTAATTAAAAATGATCACGACATATTTTTTATGCAAATTTTATTGCTTGTCATATATGTACTTCAGACTTATATATTACGCAAGGAATGACTACGAGAAAATAAAGTGTTGATTTCAACTTAGATTTTTAATAATAAAAAGTACCAGCAAATAATTATGTTGTAAGCAAACAATATAGATATATAATTTGTTTTAAATTTCTCTGTATAAAATGTATAGATATTTTGAGTATTTTACAAGATATTTGCAAAAATGACACCTCGACGTCTCTAGGAAGGATGTGTCTACTTTGACAAAGATTTAATAGTACAAAGAGGCATCATATTACATTAACCTTAGACAAATGTGTAGATATTTAATTTTTTATGTATTTGTCTTTTACCAAATCTATCTACAACGACTGCAATATCAATCAATTTTCCCAAAAAACGCACCTTCACCAAATTGAAATTTCTGAATATTTGTTTATAAAAATATAGAACTAAAATTTATTTAACAATGACGTAATTTTATACATTTTGAGTCCCAATTTTATTTTTTTCTTATGTCTTGTGTTTATTTATAATATATTTTTTAAACATTTTTTTTAATTGTATTCTATAATTTGTTCAAGTTTCACTATTTCCACATATTTTCATAGTTTGGGTTAAAGACATCTGATTCATCTGTTACATTTTTTGACAATTTAAATTTATTTGGCAAAAAACTTGTTAAAATACATACACTTTATTTTATACAGATGAAAAGCTTATGGCATTCTCTTCAGAACTGCATTTACCACTTTCCAACTTTTGGACAACAATCATTGAGAAAAAAATCGGTAAACCTTAAAAACGTATAACTTTGCAGACAAATGTTTGTACGGTTCTTCGCGTTTGTTTAAAATGTGCAAAAACTTGTTAAAATACCTAAATCATATTTTATACAGATAAAAAGCTTATGAAATTATGTAAATAACTGCATTTACCAATTTTTCAACTTTTGGAACAAAAACATTTGAAAAAAAAAAGTTCTGAAAAAATGTACCTGTTCAGTAGAGCATTGTACCACCAAGTATCAAGTTTTGGATAGCTCTGGTGGTACAACCAGTCACCCTACAGTTTTAAACCCTAAAGACAAAAATACAAAATTCCATCCTTTTCAATCTGTCGTGTACCACAACCTTGTATCTCAACCTTATAAAAGTTTTTACCCAAATAACTAACAACAATTCTTTCCCCAGATGCCAAATACCTTGGATACAGACTACGTACAGACGAGAGTTATTTATCCAGATATCTCCATTGTTGTTCCTGGGACCCAAAAAAGCTTGTGAAGAGCCTTAGCCTTCTGCAGACTCAAATCCGAAACCCTTCGTTTTTTTGTGGACCCCAAACAAATCCTGATGTGGAATTCAAGAACTGATCGATAAAACTGTAGTTAATTTTTACCAGGAATCAAGGATAACGAAGGGCGACCTGTTTATGTCGTCAAATAGGTAAAAATACCCACTTGCTATCAGTTGGTTAAATTTATTTTACCCTGTGTCATTTTTTTTTTTAGGTTTGGTTGATCCTTCCAAAGTAGATTGCCCAACTGTGAATCGTCTGGACGATTATTGGATAGAATCGATTTTGGATGATAATGAGGTCCAGAAAAGGGTATTTGTGTCCTGATGGATATTAAGGATTATTCTTGGCGACTTTTGGGCTGGTTGACGCCTCATAATGTTAAGACCAGCTCTATGAAGATGGAAATTGGACCTGTTAAAACAGGTATGTGGAGAAAAGATGATGCTACGGCCAAATATTGGAGGTAGAAAATTGGCTTAGAAACAATATGTACAGCAAATTTTTATTAACTAAAATTTTGTCAAGACTGTATGAGCTAACTAACTTATTTAGAAGTTATTAATATAATAGTGTAAGTGCGCACCTTATCAACGCTTGGACTATGGTTATATGGCTGAATGGTTAAATTTGGTATACCGCGCCCCAAATAATTTATTACCCAAGAACTTATCGTTGTTTCGAATTCCAGTTAAAAGCAATATTAATAGATGAGTTTATTAGCTAAAATTTTATCAAAGACTGTATGATGCTAAAATAATATTTTAGAAGTTATTAGTAAATAATGTTGTGTTCACCTTACCAACGCTTGGACTACGGTTTTTTGGTGAAAGGTTAAATTTGGTTTACGCGCACCAAATAATTTATTACTCAAAAACTAATCGTTGTTTCGAATTACAGTTCAAAGCAATATTATAGATGAATTCATTAGCTAAAATTTGGTCAAAGATTTTATAAGGCTAACGCAATTATTTTAGAAGTTATTAATATAATAGTGTAAGTGCGTACCTTACCAATGCTTGGACTATGGCTATATAGGTGTGAATGGCTTAACTTAATTTATGCACATGAAATAATTAATTACTCAAAAACTAATCATTGTTTCAAATCACAGTTAAGGGCAATTTTGTACATAAGTTTATCAGCTAAAATTTTGACAAAGCCTAAAAAATTTTTTTTGGAAGTTATGAATATAATAGTGTAAAAGTCAGGTACACTTTAGGTAAAGGTAAATTTAGTTTAAACGTATTGTAATTTCCGAGGCTATTTATTACCACAAGCAATATCTTAAGGCAAATAGTTCATGAGGCAAATTTATAGACGTTTTTATTAGCTATAAACTTCCCTAATATTATATGCATCTATATTAAATATTTTACTAGTTATATATATTTAACTTTGCATAAATATTTTATGATGCTTTGTCTAAAACTTCAGCACGACTTCAACATAAAAATTTTATGACACCAAATTGCACTAGAATGCTGGGATTTGAGTATATAATTCCTTAATGTTTATATTAATTCGTAGATATTTTTTGTATATGCTATATAAGATTTTTTTAACTTTTGGTTAATTTTAGACGAAGCTGCACGTCGTCA